CTGGGGGGAGGGGGGGGGCAAATCGGCCAGTGGGGCCCAGGCCACGCTGCTGGGGATGGGGATCGGTTAAACGATGTTCATATGCATACGCAAGCCCGCTCGTGTTAGACAACTCTTGTGCCCAGACTCTCACGGCGGAACAGGTCCATGTCAATATAGATGCACAGACGGAGGGCTCCACGCAGTGGATCATACAGTCGGGGCGCTGAAGAAGGAACCCTTCTCGTTGGGGAGGGGCTCCGTGTTCCTTCATTGTTTTGCAGCTTGTCTGAGGTTTTCCTTAGGTTTTCGATGGGAAGTCAAAGTTTGACTTATGGAAAAATGGACCCCGTTCCTTATTTAGGGTTCCTTAGGTCAACGCCTCGACTGTAGTTGTTCGTGGGGCATCTCCGCCTCGCTCCTTCTCCTCCCGCCTGCTGCCCTCCGACTCATCCATATTCAGACTCCGTTGCCTCCACGGCCCTGTTCGTTGCCGGAGACGGCTACGGCGAATCACCGCCGCCCCCTGCCTTTCTACGCCTACGTGGCCAAACGTTGGGCAAACATTGGCCACGCTTTTTCGAACCATGCGTTCCCCCAGCCTTTGTGGAAGCCCTTTAGGGAACACGCTGGGGAGGACTAGGAGGATGAAGAGAGCGAGGAAAAACGGAGGACGAGGAGACCTCTTGGGACCTCTTGGGAGCTTCTTGGGGCCAGGGGAGGATGAAGAGAAGGATGAGGAGAAGGATGAGGATGAAGAGAATATGTGGATTAGGACGAGGAACAAGGGAGGATGAAAAGAAGGATGAGGAGACCTCTTGGGAGCCTCCTGGGGCCAGGGGCCACTCTTGGAGGCCTCTTGGGGGCCTCTCAGGGCCTCTTGTGGGGCTTCTCCTCCTCCTCCTCCTATTCCTCCTCCTCCTCCTCCCCCTCCTCCCCCTCCCCTCCTCCCCCCTCCTCCCCCTCCTCCCCCTCCTCCTCCTCCTCCTCCTCCTTCTCCTCCTCCTCCTCCTCCTCCTCCTCCTTGGGGGAACCTCTTTGGCCGCCCTAGGGCGTTCCTGGCCCATTTGACGCTGTCGGAAGCCGTCTTGGGGGCCTCTGTGGCCCGGGGGCCATTCTGGGCCGTTTTGGGGGTTCTGTGGGGGCATTTCAGGACCATCTCGAAGGCTGTCCTGGGCGTCCTGGGGACCATCTGTCTGGGACTGAGTTGGCCGCCTCTGAGCAGTCCTGGGGGCCTCCTGGGCCGTCCCGGGGCCATCTTGGGGGGGGCCCGTTGGGCGCTGTGGGGGGGGGCGATGTTGGAAGCCTCTTGGGCCGTCCTGGGCCTTCGGAAGACCGAGAAGAAGCAGATGCCAATGTCTCTTAAGCACCAAAGAGAGATCCATGATGTTGGCCTCTTCGGGCCTTCGGGAGGACCCCTTGGTGGCCTCTTGGGCCGTCTTGGAGGCCTCTTGGGGGGCTCTGAGGCCGTCTGGGGTTACCATGAAGCCATCTTTGGCCGTCTGAAGTGCATCTTGGGCCGTCTTGGGAGCATCTCGGGGCCATATTGGGCTCTCTTGGAGCCATCTCGGCCGTCTCAGAAGCATCTTGGAGGTCTCTGTGAGGCCATCTTGGCCGCCATGGAAGCGATTTGGGCAACGGAGAGCAGCACTTCGCTGGCTTTCGGGTGGCCTGCGCGTTGGGCCGAAGCCCAAGCGGGAGTTCCAAAAAATCAAAAAGCAAACGTTCAGCACGCCAGGCACCCCGGTGATCAATCGACCGGGGGCGGCGGATGACCCAAAAGCGCGCGTAGCGTCACGATTCGTGCATCGGCAAATGACAAGGGGGAGCGTGAGGGGGGTTGCCAGGACCCGTCCCAGATGACGGACACCGCGCGCAGCGTTGAGAGGGGGAGAGTGAGGGTGTTGGCAGGACCCGCCCCAGATGACGGAAAGCGCGCGCAGCGTCGCGTTCCGGTAGTCGGGGGAAAGCAAGGAGGAGTGTGAGGGGGCTGGTCTCGGAGGCCCCAGATGAAGGAAAGCGCGGCGTAGCGTCATGATCCGTTGGTTGGGAGAGATGATAAGGGAAGGTGTGAGGGAGTTGGCTTCGGGAGGCCCACATGACAGGAATCGCGCGTAGCGTCGCGATGCGTTAGTCGGAGAAAGAACTAAGGGGAGTGTGAGGGGGGTTGCCTCGTAGAGCCCAGATGACGGAAAGCTCGCGTTAGCGTGCGGTCCGTTAGTCGGAAGAGATTCTAGACGCTTCGCGTATCCCCACCAGCCCGTCCAGAAACGACGCCCAGGCGAGTAGAGGGTCGTCCTGATGGGCTTTTCGGCGTCTTGGGTGCGTGGGCCGTTCGGGATCCTCTTTGGGGCCTCCTGGGGGCCTCTTGGGGCCTCTTGGGGCCATCTTGAGGCCTTTGGGGGCCTCCTGGGCGCTTCTTGGGGCCTCCTGGGCGCTTCTTGGGTGCCTCTGGGAGTCTCTTGGGGCCTCTTGGGGGTCTCTTGGGGGCCTCTTGGGGGTCTCTTGGGGGGCCTCGGAGCCATCTTGGAGGAGATCGATCAACGAAGGGGGGGTCCCTAATTACAGTCCCCCCCTCAGGAGCCACGATCCTCGTGAGGGGTGTCGAATTTTAGCCCTCCCAGGGGTCGTTCTTGGACGCTCTAACCACCCGCGGCCCCCCCTGTCCAGGTCAGTGGGGAGGGGGTAGGGGGAGGGGTAAACCCCTCCCCGAAGGGGAAGAACGCGGACCCGGATCTAATTGCCCTCCCGCCTCGTTTTTTATCGAGTAGGACGGCCTTCGGGGCTTACAAACAGCGTTTCGCTCGAGACATCATCGGAAAACGCTTCTTGGGCGCTTCTTGGGCGGTCTTAGGCGCCTAAGACAGCCCAAGAAGCGGCCAAGACGGCGCCCAAGACGGCCCAAGACAGCCCAAGAAGCGCCCAAGACGGCCCAAGAGCGCTCCAAGAGAGCCCAAGACCGCCCAAGGCGGCCCCAAGACGTCCCAAGAGGCCTCCACGACGCCCCAGGAGGCGCCCACGAGGCGTCCCAAGAGGGCCCCACGAGGCCAAAATCATTGATTTTCTGAAGGAAAACGTGCATTTTTAGCATATACGGCTTTTCGCCTTTCATGGCGTTGCAGACGGTCCAAGAGGCCCCCAAGACCGCCCCAAGACGGCCCAAGATGTTCCCAAGAGGCACCCAAAATAGCCCAAGAGGGCGCCAAGACGGGCCAAGAGGCGACTGTCCAAGAGGCCCCCAAGAGCGCCCCAAGAAGGCCCAAGAGGCCCCCAAGAGGGCCCAAAAACGGCCCAAGAGGGCGCCAAGACGGGCCAAGAGGCGCCAAGACGGCCCAAGACGCCCCAGGACGGCCCCAAGAAGGCCCCAAGAGGCCCCCAAGAGAGCCCAAAGACGGCCAAAGGCAGCCTAGTCCCCTCACCCCCGCCACCCAGAAGCATTCAGGAGGCCCCACGAGGCCCCCGAGAAGCCCCAAAAGGGCCCCAAGAGGCTCCCCAAGAGCCCCCCAAGAGGCCCATAATACTCCCAAAGGCTCTCAGCACAGCGGCTCCCAAGAGCGAGCGGTGACGTAATCGAGCTGATAAGACCAACGCTCCCAACAGAGAGCTGCGGCGTAATAAGTTCTTGCAGCCAGGGCACAGGGACGGGCGGCAACGCGTGGACAACGAGCGGTCCACGCAAGGACAACGCGGGGTTCTGGAAAGCAGGCAGCGCAAACGCGGAAAACGCAACGCGACCCGACCGCCCCCTCCAAAACAAGAAACGCGCTCAAAGAAAGCTCCGCGACTCTCCGAGGCTGAGATGGGACAAGAGCGAGGGGAAGGGAGTCAATAAGAGGTGTAAGAGCGGACGAGCCAGCGATCCCGTGCGCTCTGAAAGTAAGTGCGCTTTCCGTCCCCGTGCCAAGCAGGTCTAATGGCCAAATGTTCGGCCCTAGACGGCTCAAGTCAGCTCCAAGAGCGCTCCAGAGGGCCCCACGACAGCCCAAGACGGCCCGAGACGGCCCCTTTAGCGCCCAAGCTACCGCCACGACAGTTTCTCGTCTGCGCTGGCATTGGCGCGTAAGCTGCTCGATAAGGTCGCGCGTACGCGCCCCCGTTTCCGGTGCATCGCGCGTCGGCAGCCCGCGTAAGTTGCGGCGTGAGGTCGCTGTGCCATCTCGCGTAAGACCCGTCTTTTCGGGGGTGGACAGAACCCCCAACAGTGACACGTCGATTAGTGAATTGTCCGTTTTCGGTTTTCGAGAGGGCGCCGTGGCCGTTATTTTCCAGGCTTGCGCCCGCCAGGTTTGGGCTTCAGGTCGTTTTCACTAAACCACGTTTTGCTAAAGGGGGGTCTGTCCATCCCCGATCTTTGATCGTCGCTCGTATGGGGATCACCGCGTCGCAAAGTGCACGTTTTCTTGTTCGGCGTTTCGACATTGAGCGACGGGGAGGGGGGGAGGGGGCGGGGTCTGGCTCCGAGCCGCTGCTCAGTGCGACTGGACTGATTGGAACCGTGCGTCCCAGGGGGGAGACTCCACCTGCTTGAAATACACCTTAGGCGATGCTTAAGAAAACCCAAGTTTTCGGCCAGAGTCTCGATTATTCTTAACGTTTCAATGTAAATCCTAAGATTTGAATGGGAATGTTGGGGTTTTTATTCAAGTTCTGAGACTATGAATTTCTTAACCCATGATTTCTTAAGCATTTCGCAGGGTGTAGGCACCAAAAACAGCGAAGATCGACTCCATGGGGGAAAGGGGGGTGCGAGGACCCGCGCCGTAAGAAAGCTATCACAGCATTGTCCGATATTCGCACGTACTCGTCGTCAGCATTCGGTATGTCGCTTGTTCTCCTCGAGTATCCCTAGCTGCTCCTGTAAGCGAGAGGAGGGCTGCATGTAAGAAGGAAGGGGCGAGAAAGCGGACGAGGAGGTGAAGGATGAAAGTGATGATGAGGAGGAGGATGCGGTTTGCGTTCGGTTGTGCTCGGTCCCCATTCTGGCGTCTTGCCGCCCAGGGCCTTGCCTTGGGCTGCGGGAGGCTGCGGATCGCATCCGCCGGCGACACGTGGAACGCTTGCTCCTCCGCCAGTCCGCCGCATGCGGTCGGGTCCAAGACGAAGCTCCCCCCCTTCCCTCTCGCTGCCGTGCAGATGAGGAGGAAGAGGCGGAGCAGGAGGAGGAGGAAGAAAGTGGGCAGAGGACGAGGCATGGGAGGGAGAAGGAAGGGCATGGAGGAGGAGGAGGAGGAGGAGGAGGAGGAGGAGGAGGAGGAGGAGGAGGGATCGAGGCGACCGCCGTCATCCCGAAGGCACTGAGGGTGGTCTGGTAGGCAGTCAGTTTCCACATCTCCCTGACCGTCGTCTCCGCCAACGCTCAGGCGGGCAAGCGGCCAGTGGGGCGCCTGAAGCGCTGACAGCTCAATCTGCACGCGGCCGTCCAGAATTTGGGGGTCGACTTTGGGCTGTCTCCTCGCGCCTCCCGGGCGGTGCTTCACGCTCGGCTCTCCGAGCCGGGTCCAGGAGGCCTCCAGGTGCGTGGTGTTGCGGCGGGCGAACGCCTGTTCGGGCGCGGTTTTCCGCACGAGCGGGCTTGAGACCGTCCTGCACGGGGGCAGCAGTGGGCGCCAGGACCCAGCGGTCGCCGCTAGCATTAGGTCGGGCATGTCCCCCCACTGGCGGGCTTTAAGGATTGTCAACAAATACGCAAGAATTAGAATTATGAAAACAACACTAGAACAATCGTCCCCATATTATTTTTGGACTATAGTTGAATATTCCCTCTGTAGAGGGATAGGCCCAGCTTACCGCTGACAGCCTGCCCTTGGCGGCGTCGGCGCGGGCTGTCTTCCTCGGCTTCAGGAACGCCGCCAGCTTCGGCGCGGACTTCCTGGTCAGCGAGCCGGCGACGTGGGGCCACGTCACGGGGCCCGCGGGCGCCGTGAAGCTTACGCTCGCGCGCATCGGCTGGGAGGCTTTTGGCGTGGCACACCTGGCGGGCAGACGCGGGCCAGGAGGTAGACTTGCGGGCCCAGAACCCCCGCATGGTGAGCTTCCTCGTCGAGAACGCGGTTTTACCGCGCAGATGCGGACCGCCCGGGCTTCCAGGCGCTCCAGGGTCGCGCGCCCGACTTGGGGCCCATCCGCCACGCGCTTGCCGTCATGAGAGGGCGAGGTCAGCGCGAGGAGGTGGACCTCCTGGAGTCGCTGACCGTAGGCGGGCCCCCGACCCAGATCGACCCGCACGTGGAGCGAAAGCAGCTGGACCCGTCCTGCCGCCAGTGCTGAGGGGGCATGGGCACCACGCGCCACCGCCACTGTAGTTGCGCCGCCACCGCCCAGGTGGGTCGGGACCGGGTTTGCGCACGTGCCTCGGCTTGGCGCCGCGGCACCGCTTGACGACCTCGGCTTCCTCCGCGGGCTGGTCTGCCTGGGCTTTGACGAGGCCCCCGCCCCGAGTGCCACCGAGATCTGCTTGCGGGCAGGCGCGGCGCGGCGCAACGGCTTCAGCGGCATCGCATGCGCCGACGGCTCGACCACCTGCCCGGAGGTGCCCGCCCTTACCTGGTGCGGGCTGGGCAAGCACCGTGGTCTCGGACGACGGCGCCATCCGTGGCGGCGCGTAAGAATGCGTGCCGGGGCCCTTCCACGAGAGCGTGCTCGCCGATCTCTGGGCCGTCCTGCGCGTGTTGAAGGCGCAGGAGGTGGCCAGGCTCGGCGTCGTGTCGGACTGCCTCGGGCTGGCCTCGGGCTGCGCCCGCGGCCGAGCGCGGCGCGGCTCGGCGCCACCCGAGTGCGCCGAGCAGCGGGGCAACGGCTTGGAGCCACGTCGAGAACCCCGGTGGGGCCCATTTTACGTGGAGGAGGAGGAGGAGGAGGAAGAGGAGGAGGAGGAGGAGGAGGAGGAAGACCCAAGACCCAGAGGCATGGTGGCGGGGCCCGAGCCCCACGCCAGCTGGGCGAGGGCAGAGAGCGCCGGCACCACCCGGGGCCTGGCACGTCGGCAACGAAGAGAAGCGGATGCCGAGGCCGAGCTCGGAGCCCGCCTGCACTCGCAGATGCGGCCTCGCCGAGCGCTCGAGGCGCGAGCGGTCGCGACGACGGGCGCTGCGCTCGCTCTCCCGGGGCACCACGGCGCGGTCTTCAAGAGTTTGGACGCCCGAAATGGGCACGGAAACAATGGGTAGAATGCCCAACAACAAATGTTGTCCCAAACCATCAGCGGCCGCTGTTGGGCAGGCGGCCTTCTGTTTCAAATGGACACAGGCCGCGGCGACACCGACAGCGAGTCCTGTTCAGAATGAACAGGAACTGCTGTTGAGCATTGTACCCATTCTTTCCGTACCCATTTCGGGCGTCCAAAAAGAGGGTGGCGGGCGGCGGGGGAGGGCTGGCCCGACCGTGCCCTTTTGGTCCGTCCCCAAGGCCCATCCCCAAAGACGGTTTGATCCTCGTGGGCTCCGATGGGGGCCACTTGCTAGTCAGGCCTGGTCGAGCCTGAGGCTGTGGTGTTTGCGGGGTTCGGAAGGCCTGGAAGGCTCGTGTCGTGGCCACCCCCTGCCCAGGGATCCCTACAGGATCGCGTCGGTCGCCCCACCAATTCCGTAGGCTTTGGGTCGTCTGGGGGCGGTCTGATGTGGGTCGGGAGCCGGCTGGGCTGGGCGTGGTCTCTGGGGTCGGTGGTGCGAGTGTCTTCTTGTGTTGCATGTGGGCAAGTGGGGCCCGCGAGCGAAGGCAGACCCACCTGCTGGCGCAGGAGCGCCTCCCTCCCGCCAGGCGTGAACGGACTGCGGCTCGATCAGCCCGGGCGGCCCTCTGCCGTCTTCGGGCGGGGCGCGAGCCCCAGCCGGGGGTCCTCTGGGGTCCGCCCTTCCCGAGGCCCGAGGAAGAGGAGGAGGAGGAGGAGGAGGAGGAGGAGGAGGAGGAGGACCCTCCCCCTCCTCCTCGTCCTCCTCCTCCTCGTCCTCCTCCTCCTCCTTCCCCCCTGACCCGCACGGGGCCCGCCCGAGGCGCCCGGAGGGTCGCCTCGGAGGCTCCCTCCCCGGCCCTGCCAGCTGCGGTTGCTCCCGAGGCTTGGCGCTCCCGCCTCGGGAAGTACGGGACGTGAAGACGACCACAGCCACTGCTTTTCTTTGGTTGCCGCCTTCCAGCCAGCAGCAGCAAAGCAGTGGTTGTGGTCATGTTCGTGAAGCTCGGCATCAGGGAAATTACCACAGCCACTGCTTCTTTTTCGGCCGGCTGGGAGGCGGCGCAAACAAGAAGCAGTGGCTGTGGTCATTTTCCCGTCCCTATGTGCTCAGGCAGCTCGAGCTTAAGATTCGTATAAGTTCGGTCAGGACTCGGATGCAAAGGAGGACCGGATCCACAACACTACAGAGCACAATCGCGGCGCGGCACATCGCAATTCAGCACGGTGCAGCACAGCACAGCCATCGGCACGGTACACCAAGATCGATGCATTCAGCATAGCAGTTGCCCGTCGTCCAATCAGGTGTCTTTGAAGCGTTGCCATGCCGTAGATTTCTATATTATTTTCCGGGTTGGTGGGTCGATCATGTTACGTGTCCAGGCCACCAAGGGGGGTATCTACCATGATTGTCCCGAGCAAAGACCACGTGATTTAACATGCCCAGGCCATCCAGGGGTGTATCTAACATGGTTGTCCCGAGCAGGCACCACGTGTTTTTACGTGTCAAGGCCACCCAGGGGGGTATCTAACATGATTGTCCCGAGTTGACACCGTGTGCTTGTACGTGTCCAGGTCGCCCAAGGGAGTATCTAACATGGTTGTCCCGAGCTGGCACCACGTGTTTTAACGGGTCCAGGCCACCCAGGGGTGTATCCAACATGGTTGTTCAGAGCTGATCCCACGTGTTTTTACGTGTTCAGGCCACCCAGTGGGGTATCTAACACGATTGTCCCGATCTGGAACTACGTGTTTTTACGTGTCCAGGCCGCCCAGGGGGGATATCCAACATGGCGTCAGGCCCAACGCCGAATTATCAGAAAATGCACGGGGGGCCGCAAAGCGTTACCCGAACACAGACCCCAATACAGAAACGGAAGACATTGCGAGGATGTCTCGAGCGGGAGCGGGAATTCGGGAGTATCCCGGCCACGCAGGGTGTATCTACCATGGTTGTCCAGAGCTGGATCTACGTGGTTTTACAGGTCCAGATTGCCCAGGGGTGTATCTAACATGGTTCTCCCGAGTTGGAACCATGTGTTTTTACGTGTCCAGGCCATCCAGGGATGTATTTGCCATGGTTGTCCTGAGCAAGGACCATGTGATTTTGCGTGTCCAGGCCACCTAGGGGTGTACCGAACATGGTTGTCCCGAGCTGGCACCATGTGCTTTTACGTGTCCAGGCCACCCAGGGGTGTATCTAACATGATTGTTCCGAGCAAGGACCATATGTTTTAACGTGTCCAGGCCACCCAGGTGTCTATTAACATGGTTGCTCAGAGCTGATCCCACGTGTGTGTACGTGTTCAGGCCACCCAGGGGGGTATCTAACACGATTGTTCAGAATTGGAACCACGTGGTTTTACCTGTCCAGGCCGCCCAGGGCGGTATTTAACATGGCGGAGCCAGGTGCTTTAACCTGTCCAGGCCACTTTGGGGGTAACTAACATGGGCCTCCTGAGGCCTTCCTGGGGGCCTGGAACGGGCGTCTAACATGAAGATGTGTTGAGGATGGCTCGGGCCAACGACTTGTCTTCACGTGTCCAGTTCGCCCAGGCGGATGTCTAGCATGAGGTGGTAAGTCCATTGGCACGTTCCGTTGCGCGTCCCCGTGGCACGTCCCTCGGTGCGTCCCCGTGGCACGTCCCCTGGCACGTCGCTTGGCGCGTCCCTTGGGGCGTTCCGGGAGCGTCCTCCTAGCATGTCCCCCTGTCAATTAGCTCTGGGGCAGCTACTAAGTGCTTAGGCAGCTCGAGCTTAAGATCCAGATCAGTTCGGTCAGGACTCGGATGCAAAGGAGGACTCGATCCACAACACTACAGAGCACAATCGCGGCATGGCACATCTCAGTTCAGCACGGCGCAGCACAGCACAGCCCTCGGCATGGTACATCAGGATCGATACACTTAGCATTGCAACCTGGCACGTTCCGTGCCGCGTCCCGTCCCGAGTCCCCCTGGCACGTTCAGTAGCGCCCCTTCGGCACGTCCCGCGGTGTGTCCCCATGGCACGTCCACGGGCACGTCGCCTGGCGCATTCCTCGGGACGTTCCGCGGCGCGTTCTCCTAGCATGTCCTCCTGTCAACTAGCTCTGGGGCAGCTACTATGTGCTCAGGCAGCTCGAGCTTAAGATCCAGATCAGTTCGGTCAGGACTCGGATGCAAAGGAGGACTCGATCCTCAACGCTATAGAGCAGAACCGCCGCATGGCACATCGCAATCCAGCACGGCGGAAAACATGCCCAGCCCTCGGCACGGTACATCAGGATCGATACACTCATCATTGCATTTGCCTGTCGCCGAATCAGGTGTTTTTGAAACGTTGCCGTGACTTGCATTTCTATATCCCTTTCTGGGTTCGTGGGTCGACCATGTATGTAGGTCATCGAGTTCTGCAGAGCGGAACTCGCTCCATTAGGACAGAGGATGAGGAGGAGAACGAGGAAGACTCGGAGGCACGGTCGGAGGAGGGGGGCAGCAGGAGGAGGAGGAGGACGACAAGGGCACATACAAGTTCAGTGGGGTTGAGGAGGATCAGGGCGGTCGCCGGATCGAAAGGGGGGCCATGTTTCCGTCCTTCCTCCCTCCTCTGCCTTCTTCCTTCCCCAGTCCCCCCTTCTGCTCCCTCGTTCCGCTGCCCTCCTTCCCTCCCTCCGACGACGACGCGTGTCTTGCATGTTGTTGCTGTTAAACCCTGGCCTGCTGGCCTGGGCGGGTTCCGTTGGCTCCATTATCTTAGAACCTGTCTTCACGATTTCGGTGGTCAGCTGAGGTCCAAAATGGTTTGCCCCATTTTACCGGCGTGGTCCTCCTGGCCCGGCTCTCAGCGCGTTGAGACGCCGCCAAGATTGTGGAGGTCGGAAAGGGGGGTGGCATAAAGGGGCGTGGTGCCCATCGTGGAAGTGGCGACATTCTCTACGACAGATAACCTCGCCAGATCCGGCATCGGCACGACACCCCTTTACACCACACCCCTCCCGGAAAGGTGGACCGCGCGCGGAAGCCCCCGGAGCCACACGATTCGTCTGGCAGCGAGAGCGGGCGGCACGCGCCACCATGGCGCAGTGGCCGTGCCCACGCGCGGTCTGAGGAGTGCGCCTTCCGACGAGAAGCGCGTCGGGGGCTGCAAAGAGGGGGGTGATGGCCATGGGGGGCGAGGAGGTCTTCTCCGAAGGGCTTAGGCGACCCGTCCTCCCCCTCCTCCTCCTCCACTCCACCTCCTCCACCTCCTACTCCTCCTACTCCTCCACCTCCTCCTCCACCTCCTCCTCCTCCTCCTCCTCCTCCTCCTCCTCCTCCTCCCCCCCTCCTCCTCCTCCCTCCTCCACCTCCTCCTCCTCCTCCACCTCCTCCTCTCCTCCTCCTCCTCCTCCTCCTCCCCTTCTGCTCCTCCTTCCCCCTCCTCCTCCTCCCCTCCTTCTTCTTCCTCCCTCCTCATACTCCTACACCTACTCCAACCTCCCTATTCCTACTCCAACTCAAACATCCTCCTACTCCTTCTCCTCCTCGTTCGCCTTCGGCCCAGAGAAATCGTGCAAGGGTGCATACCATAGGCGGGGGCCATGACCACTCCCCAGGCATAATGGCCCTCTCTTATTTCAATTAGGTCCCGCCCACCCCCCTTGGCCGTGTTCGTGCCGCCGGCCATGATTTGCGCCCCCCCCTGCAGGGCTGATTTCGATTCATTCGCTTCGATCCGATTCGATTTCGATGGCTTCCGATTCCGAGTCGACTCGATTTCGGATTCCGATTTGGCATGTACTAGCCTGCCGATTTCCGCCGATTCGACTTCTCCCGACTTGGCTGCCGATTTCCACCGATCCGATTCGTTTCGATCGCCGATCCGACTTATCGATTCGATTATGGGCTCTCCTGCCCCTGGTGGACGTCCGCGTCCTGGACGCCCCCGAGTGCGCGAAGCCCGCGGCCAGGTTCGACTCCCCGCCCTGTGCCGCGTGCGACTTCCTCCGCCGACGGAAGGCGCCGCCGCCGCACCCTCGGTCTCCCTCGCGCACCCGATCGGGCCGTGCGGCCACGCGGGACCCCATCCAGCCTTCGAGGGTGCGGCCTTTGAAGATGGAGGAGGAGGAGGAGGAGGAGGAGGAGGAGGAGGAGGAGGCGGAGAAAGAGGAGGAAGAGGAGAAAGAGGAGGAGGAG